GTGTAGAGCTGGGTGAACACAGCAGGACAAGCAGCATCAGAGGAGCACGAAGGCCGACGTTTCGGGCCTAGACCCTTCATCAGAAAATGAATTTTCTGAAGGAGGGTCTAGGCCCGAAACGTCAGCTTTCCTGCTTGTCTGATGCTGCTTGGCCTGCTGTGTTCATCCAGCTCTACACCTTGTTATCTCAGATTCTGCAGCATCTGCAGTTCCTATTATCTCCCTCCTTTTGAGTCTGTACTGCCAAAAATATGCTACTGCCTACACTAGTCCCACCTTCTCTCATTAGGCCCATAGCCTTGATGAACACTTAACGTGTCATAACACCCAAGTACTTTTTAAAGATTCTGAGGTTTCTTGTTTTAACTACCCTCCCTGGCAGTGCATTCCATACCCCCATCATCCTCTGGATGGAAAATTGTTTCCTGAAATCTCCTCTAAACTGCTTGCCTTTTCACTTTTTAAAAAAAATTTGTTTCCTTGTCATTGACACTTTGACTAACAGCAACAGTTCCTTTCTATCCATCCTGTCCATGCCCCTCATCATCTCATACACCTCGATCAGATCCCCTTCGGCCTTCTCTGCTCCAAAGAAAACAGCCTGCGCTTATCCAGCTGCACTTCACAGCTGAAATACCCTCCCCCTTCTCCCACCCATCTCCTGTAATTGTATTGATTTATATCCTGGTCTATTTGTGTTTATCCCTTTTTTTTTATTTTCTTTTAAATGCATAATGGTTATTGTTCAAGATCAGATCGCTGCAGATGCTATGTTATCTTTTGAGGGTTCATTCGGAATTGGGAAATTCTGATTATGTAATTGGGTGTATAAGTGTGCGCCTGTCTCTTTTACAACCTTGATTTATTTACAACCGCACTGTGCTCGTACCTACTTGTTTAAGGAATCCAAAAGTAGTTTGATTGCCCTACTATAGTCCTGTATCTTCCTTTTGCTTCAACTTTTCTTCCAGTTTGAAACCAACAGCCTATCTCCACTGCTCCCAATAACAAATCTTCCCACATTGATAAATGTGTAATTGTTTGTTTGTAATCCTTCTAACTGTCCATTGTTTTTAATTGATATCACAATGGAATTTCCCATGTGAAACGGTGGTCTTTCCCTGTTTGCTCCGTCAAGACCTACCCAATTTCGAAATTCTCCTAGCTTTCTCTACCAAGTTGAAAAATTCCTTAATATTCTTAACTGTTGATTCATTTCCAACCTGAACCGCCAACATTACTCCCTTTTTTTTATTTCTTTTGTTTCCTATCTAGCAACTAACTTTCTATTTATACTTTTGCTGTTGTACCTGAAACTTTGAAGCCTCCTATGAAACACATTTTTGTAGAAAGCCTCTGACAGTCCAAAGACATTACGTCTGTAATCCTAAAATATGCATTACTCATCTCTTGAAAAACCTCAGACTTTAGAATCGTGACTTGCTTTTGTGAAATATGCACTTGGTTATTTGATCCATTGATCTCATTACAGATTGTGAGTTTGTCCTTGGCAGTTAGTTGGCTAACAGATCTTTAGTTACCGAGTTAATTCTCTACGTTTTTATGAAGTGGCTGCCTCAGCTATAAACTGATTTTGCTGGGAAATCTAGTTCCTTCCCATTCTGTCTATATGTTAACTCTCAAACAGCACCATAACATTCTGTTTACCAGAACAAAACATTGGTTAATAGAGCCGACTTGAGAGATGGTTTATTCTTGCTTTGATTTTTTTTCTTGTTCTTTTCATTAACTTCAATCTAATAACACAGGTGATATATATTGCACAATGTGTGTTTTTTTTTTGAACTTGGAATTCAGTAGTTAATGGTTATCTTGTTAGGTAAATCTGAAATAACTTCCTAAATTGAATATGATTTGAAGTAAGAAGATATAAGATTAAAACCCTTTGATTTGTTTTGCAGGAGCCTTTTGAGGATGGTTACGCAAATGGAGAGGAAGCTAGCCCAGCTGAGGAGGCTGTGTCAAAGCATGTTGTTGACAATAAAGGTGTTGTGAAGTTTGGCTGGGTTAAAGGTGTTCTGGTAAGTTAATTGCTAGCTTTTGGCTTTCAGTAGATAAGCCGATATTTAGTCATCAGTTTTGAACTTCTTTTGGGGCAACATGGTGGCTTGGTGGTTAGCACTGCTGCCTCATGGCACCAGGGACCCGGGTTTGATCCCAGACTGGGGCGAGTGTGCAAACTCCACACAGACGTTCTTCCCCCGTGTCTGGGTGCTCCAGTTTCCTCCCATAATCCAAAAATGTGCAGGTTGGATGGATTGGCCATGGCAAATTGTCCATTGTGTCCAGGAATGTGCAAGCTAGATAGGTCAGCCGTGGGAAATGCAGGGATAGGGGAGGGGGATAAGTCTGGGGGGCTGATCTCTTGAGGGTCAGTGTGGACTTGATGGCCCAAATGGTCTGTTTCCACACTGTGTAGGGATTCAGTGGTTCTATGAACTTTTGAAGCTGTTATTTTTAATTTTGTGAAGCCTTTTAGAAAACTTTTTGATTCTTGGGTTGGTACAACTTTGAACAACACCTTTCTTTAGTCCCACAACGGGCAGCAAATGTCTCGCATTTTTTATGGCTTTGCGAAAGTAGATTTCTTTTTGCAGGACTGAATTTCTGGACTTTGAAGGTACAATAACTACCTCTGCATCTCTTTTAGCTCCATGATAAAATTCAGTACTGATATTCAGGCAAAATTGTTGCTTTATGTTAATGACTTGTCCCTAATCCATAGAGCCCGGTTCCAACTCTCATGCGGTGACTGTATGGAAAAAGAGAAGCAGATTTTTTTTCTTCCCCACCCCATCCCCAAAGGGGTGATGCTTGTGCAAAGGCACTTGCTTTTACAGTTAATGTTACTGCTCCAATGTTACTGCAAATAACATCTACTGATTGCACTCTTGATGCACTTTTTGAAGGAAAAATAAATGCAAGTAAGTTGACTTTTTAACTTACAAAGTCCATTTATTTTATATCAAATTGTGAGCGATCTAATGGGAACGTTCCTGATTTGCAGCATCCGCAGTTCTTTTGGTTTTTATTAGAGATCTAATGGGCATTGACTGACTGGGAAAATTCTCTTTTAAACTTTTTATTTAAGAAGTCCATGGCAAATTGCTAGCAATTTGCAGATTAAAAATTGGACAAGAGGAATATAATGAAGCAGCTTCAATTTGAGTTAATTCCCCGTTTAATATGATAATCAGCCTGCAGTAATGCAAATCTCATCAAATTGTTGTGGTTCTGAATGTATTATGGAATTTCAAGAGATTTTCAGGCTGTTGATTTGAAGGACCCATTTCAAATGGTTTAATAATCTGAATTACATTACTATGTGATACTTGTAAATTGAAATTGCTGCATACACAAAAAGTGCTGTAACATGCATTTTGGGGAAATTGGTGTGGGTAGATGTGTGCATCTCACTGCTGCCTGTTTTAATCTGACCAGAGAGATCAGAGTACAGGTCCCATCCCTCCCCATGTACACCTTATTTGATTTAAAGTTCGCAATGATGCCTCTTACAATTGTTTAATCACGAGGCTTCTCCTGCATTGCAGATCTTCTGGGCATCACTACTGACCCCAGACTGAGAGCCATTTCCCAACTGTTCTTCTAAAACAAAAGCATCAACTGCCAAAAAAGTGCTTTATACATTTTATTTCAGAGCTCCCTTCCCCTTCCCCCATTTCTGAAGAAGGGTCGCGACCCGAAAAGTCAGCTTTCCTACACCTCTGATGCTGCCTGGCCTGCTGTGTTCCTCCAGCTCCACATTGCTATCTCTTTATACTGAAGCTCTTTTTTTTGTGTAAGTGAGACACTATTGAACCCATTGTACCTCGTGGCACTTGGTCAATAGTCCATCATTAACCACCTTGTCCTTTCTTTCATTCCTTCCAAATCTTCCTTTTGAAAACTTGAAATACCACCTGCACCACCCACTCACCACATTAAATCCTTCCGTGTGGAGACACAGACAAGTAAAGTTGTCATAGGCTTACTGGACCATAAGGCTACCCTGAGACAGGCACAACTGGTGGTGGTTTAACCAGAGGGTCATCACCTCTGGGCGAGGCGCAAGTTTGAGAAGGCAGGTCCTTTGTGGTAACCTCAGCCCGTGCAGGAATTGATCTCATGCTCTTAACATTTATTCTTTGTTGTAATCCAGCTATCTGAGCTATTTGTTGCATCTGTCCATAGCAGTATTGGTAGGAGGGACTGTGACAGTACGGGTGAAGTCTAATCTTCGCTGATATGTGGCACTGAAACCAATGAAGACCAACACCTTTTCAATGGGATGGATTTCAGATGAGTCTAACAACTCTACTTGATATCTATGAGGCTTTGTTGATCATGGACAGTGTGTATTCAACCACAGTCTGTATCCTCATGGCCTGGTATGTTCCCCACTTCACTGTTACTGTCCAGGCCCACTTCAGGAGTGACATCAGGTTTTCCTAAATATGAATGCTCCACCAAATGAAACTACAGCATGGGACTACCTGCATGCTGAACAGGTGGGAACAGCATGTGATAGTTGGGGCTAGGTGATCCCACTGCCAGTGGATCAGATCTAAACTCTGTAATCCTGCCACGTCGGGTCGTGAATGGTGGACAATGAAATAACTAGTGGGAGGAGGCTCAAATATTTATCTTTTCCCAGATGAGCGTGCACTGTTAGCTAGGTCAGCACTTGTTACTGTCTCCAGAGCAATTAAGGATGGGCAGTAGTGAGCTGCCTCCCTGAACTGCAGTCGTTGAGGTGTAGGTGCATCCACAGTGCAGTTGAGAAGGAAGTTCCCTGATTTTGACCTGGTGACAGTGAAGGAACAGTGATTATGGTTCCAAGTCAAGTTTGGTTTATAACTTGGAGAATTTGCAGGTGGTGCTGTTCTTAGGCAGTACAGGTCATGGGTTTGGAAGGTGCTATCGGGGGGAACTTTGAGTTAGTGTAAAGGTATTTTGTAGATGGTAGATGCTGTTGCCACTGCAGTACTGGCAAATGGATTGAATGTTGAAGGTGGTGGATGAGGTGTCAATCAGTTAGGCTGCTTTGTTCTGGAGGGTGTCCAGCTGCTTTTAGAGCTGTTACTCAACTTGGAAACTGGGGAGCATTTTGACACAGTCCTAATTTGTGCCTTTGTGGTCGCTGGACACATTGGGCAGTCAGGAGGTGAGTTATTCATTGCAGAATTCCTACCTTCTGTCCTGTGACCACAGTATTGATAAGGCAAGTCCAGTTCAGTTTCTGGTCAATGAGAATATCTGGGATGTTGATAATGGGGGATTCAGTAACGGTAATACCTTTTTAAGGGGTGATGGTTATTGCCTGGCACACATCTGGCAAGAATGTTGCCTGCCAGATGTTCCAGTCCTTTAATATCTTCTGAACACCCACGACACCTTATCACCCTTTCATTAACAAAATGAAACCAGAGGCATACAGAGGGCCAAGTATGATAACAAACCACAAAGTAGTATTGGATCATCTGACCAAAAGCTCGGCAAATAAGTTTTATGGAGGAGCAAGAAGACAGCTCGGGAAAGGGTAGGTCCACTCTAGGACAAAGGAAGGAATTTGTGTGGAGCCAGAGGAAATGGGTGAGGTCCTTTTTAATGAGTACTTGTCCTTCTTCTTGGTGTATACCAGTACCATGATGGTAAGATTAGGAGGGGTGTGTGTTTATATTCAAGGGCATGTCAGTATTAGGAAAGAGGATGTGTTGTGTTTTGAAAAACATTAAAGTAGATAAGTCTCCAGGGCCTGATAAGATCTATCCCAGGACACTAGGGAGGTAAGGGAGGAGATTGCTGGAGTCTTGGCAGAGATCTTTGTATTCTCCTTAAACATAAGTGTCCTAGGGGACTGGGGAGTAGCCAGTGTCCATCCTTTGTACAAGAAAGGCAACAGGGATAATCGAGACAACTATAGGCCGGTGAGCTTTACATCAGTTGTAGGTAAATTATTAGAGAAAATTGTTAGGAACAGGATTGACTTGTATTTGGAAAAGAAAGGACTCATTAGTGATAGCCAGCATGGCTTTTTGCAGGGGATGTCTTGTGTCTCAAATTTGATTGTCTTTTGAGGAAGTGACACACAAGATTGAGGGTAGGGCAGTGGATGTTGTCTACGTGAGTTTTAGTAAAGCATTTGAAAAGGTCCCTCGTGGTAGGCTGCTCCACAAGATTAAATCATATAGGATCAACATAAGTTGGTAAATTGGGTACAAAATTGGATTGGTCATAGAGAGAGGGTAGTTATGGAAGGGTGTCTTTCTGAATGGAGGTCTGTGATCAGAGAGGAATGTAGCTCCTCTGATTAATAAGTTTACAGATGATCTGAAAATTAGTGGAGTTGTGGATAGTGAGGAAGGTTGTCAAAGAATACAGCAGATATAGATCAATTGGAAATTTGGGCAGAGGAGTTTAATCTGGATAAGTGAGGTGATGCATTTTGGGAGGTCAAATACAAGATGAAAGTATACATTAAATGGCTGGACTCTGGCCAAATGCAGGCAAATGGAACTAGTTTAGTTTGGGGAAACTTGGTTGGCATGAACAAGTTTGTACCAAAGAGTCATATGGCATGGGAATAGACCCTATGACTTGGGGTGGAAGTCCTTCGTTCCATGAAAGTGGTAACAAGTGGATGTGGTGTAGAAGAGGGTGTATAACATGCTCCTCGTCATTGGTCAGGGCATGGAATGTAAAAGTTAGCAACTGGTTGTAACTGTATGAAACTAAGTTGGTGACATTTGGAGCATTGTGCATGGTTCTGGTTGCCCCACTTACAGGCAGAATGTGAAGGCTTTGGAGAGGCCGCAGAAGAGGTTTATCAGGATGTTGCCTGGTCAGATTGTATTAGAAGAAGAAGTTGGATTGTTTCTCCAGAGCGTCGGAGGCTGACAGGAGGGTGTGGTCCGATTAAAGTATATTAAAATTCAGTGGCATGGATAGGGTGGATAGTTGGAGTCTTTCTCCCAGCCAGGGTGCAAATGTTTAATATGGCTGGGGTGGGGGGATGGGGTGCGGAGTTCAAAGATTTTTAAGAGGACGGTAGGTGCCTGGAATATGCTGCTGGGGAGGTGGTAGAAGCAGGTATGATATCAATGTTTAGGAGACATTTAGACTGCATGAACAGGTAGGGATTAGAGAGATATGGACCATGTGCAGACAGATGTGATTAGTTCAGAATGGCATCATAGTCAGTGCAAATGTGGTGGGCCAAAGGGCTTGTTTCTGTGCTGTACTGTTGATGTTCTGCTTGAAAGGTAGAAAGTAAGGTGGAAATTTGCATATGAAATTCTGAGGCTCAGGCAATTGAACTCCTGATCACCAAAGGTGGTGCAATTAAGATTTGGGAATGCATAACTAATAATAACAGCAATACTGTTAAGCTGTATCACCTTTAAACATGATTCTGAAGAAAATTAAACAACTATTTGGTTATACTTAATTTGCTGCCTGCTTGGCTGTCAATGTTAATTGGTAAGAATTTGGAATATGTGATTATCAGTTGTTTATTTGTACTGTCTTGGAATCTTTTCCAATCCACTAGGTACGATGTATGCTAAATATTTGGGGTGTGATGCTCTTCATCCGTTTAACATGGATTGTTGGCCACGCTGGAATAGGTATGTGGAAAACCTTAACTTATTCTACTGATGAAAGTCGATAGATCGATATGTTAGCGTTTTATTTGTTATTTTCACCTTCATGTTAAATGATTCTGTCATTTGCAGTAGTGTGTTAAATGCAACATATGAGTTGTCTTCTGTCCTCATCTTTAATTAAATGCTAGGTGTTGAAGTTGAGCAGCTTTTGTTCACAATTGACAGTGAAATATTTAAACTCCTGCTATAACGAGCTATAAATTAACTTCCATGGGAGCATTGTTAAAATTTCTGTAAACCTTTCCCAATTAGGCCACAGTTTTTCAGGAAACTTGACTTAATCAACTAACTTAGTGAAATGCCCATCCATGAGGGATGGAGGGGGCAGGTGATGGCCTAGTGGTATTATCGCTGACTGTTAACCCAGAGATCCAGATAATATTCTGGGCACCCAGGTTTGAATCCCACCACAGCAGATAGTGGAATTTGAACTCCATTAATATCTGGAATTAAGAGTCTAATGATGACCATGAATCCATTGTTGATTTGTTGGAAAAACCCATCTGGTTCACTAATACCCTTCAGGGAAGGAAACTGCCATCCTTACCTGGTCTGGCCTACATGTGACTCCAGATCCATAGCAATGTGGTTGACCCCAATCTGCCCTCTGGGTAATTAGGGATGGGCAATAAATTCTGCCTAGCCAGTGACGCCCTCATCCCGTGAATGAATAAAGAAAAAAGAACATAATGCTCTTCCCATACCTGCATCACAGAAGAGCTGGATACTTCGAGTTGTGTTCTGAATTAAAGATTTAAGTTAGTCATTACAAATCAATGAAAAGCACCGAACACCCATAATATCAAAAGATGAGGTGGTTTATTTACAGAAGAAATAGAATATTTATCAGACTAGTTCTAAATGCCTTTTGAAGTGCAATGGAAAGTGATAAGTTTTTTTTTGCTGGCATATTCTTTTTTTAATTTGTACATTGCTACTGCAAATCCCTTTTTCTGAAACCAATTAAAGAAACAGTTTCCAAGGCAAAACTGTATTATTGGGAAAGATTATGGATCAGGTGGCTCATTAGGACAAGGGCTGCATCCGGATTAATGGATGCAGATTGTGCTCGCATGCAATTCAAAAATTTTGATCCATCAGAAAAAAATTTAATGTTACAAGTTGGCAATATATTTCTGCTTGGGCTATGATGTTATTTTGCAATAGTATGTTTCGATTTCAATGCTTGAATGTCGGAGGGATGAGGACTAGTTCTCCCACCAATTTGAGTATCAAGTGACTAGAAAGTTTACTGATTTTTATCACGTGTTGATGTTCTGTTTTTTAAATTTACCAACTTTTTACGGGTGGTGGCCTTAAAGGCTGGAGATATGTTGGTGTTGTAATAATAAGCCCAGTAACTGCAAGCTAGCTAGTTGAATCCCAGGGCTGAGAGGTTTTCAAAATGATCAGTCAGGACATATTACAATCTCTTTTTGGCAAATATTGATTAGTTGCAGAAAGTCAGTATGGGTTTGTTCAAATGGAATTGTGTTTAACTAATTTTGGTTAGGTTTCTTCACTGAGGGGACAGAGATTTGATCACCGGTCATGTGGTAGTTGAAATTCTGACAGGTATTTGGTCACCTGTAATACAGCAGGTTTATCAGCAAGGTTAGAGCCTATGTAATAACCTGGATGGTAGAAGCATAGATATGAAATTAGTGAGTGACCAGAAACACAAGCAATACACCAGGCAACTATGTTTCTGCAAGGACAATTTATATCAGAACCACTTACCTCCATTTGTAACTTTATATCGTGTGTTGTGTTTTGATGTTTGTTTGTTCAGTTAAACTTCCCTTAACTTAAAATACGATGGGGGGAATAAAAGACATTACTTGGATTGTCAAATATTAGCTCCTAGTGTTTGTGGAGAGGGGCTAAAGACATGGATGTAGAATCCCTACAGTGTGGAAATGGGCCATTCGGCCCAACAGGTCCATATTGATCCTCCGAAGAGCACCCCATCCAGACCCATCCCCCTGCTTATCCCTGTAACCCTGTTAATCCCATGGCTACCCACCTAGCCTACACGCCCTGGACACTGAGCAATCTAGCATGGCCAATCCGCCTAACCCGCACATCTTTGGACTGTGGGAGGAAACCAGAGCACCCGGAGGAAACCCACGCAGACACTGGGAGAATGTGCAAAGCCCTCACAGGCAGTCGCCCGAGGGTGGAAATGAACCTGGATCCCTGGTGTTCTGAGGCAGCAGTACTAACCACTGAGCCACCGTGCTCCTAAAGCATTAAAAAATCTTGGGAAAGATCAGAAAGCAGTTTGTGTGCCTAGCATGTATGAAATGGGGTATTTTACTAGCTAATTAGTATGAAGAATTAGAAGTGACAGCTTAAAATGATTTCTTATAAAAAAAGTAGAGCTTTTTTAAGTAAGAATATTATTTAAAAGTAAGACTGGAGCTTTTGCTGCTATTGGCTGTGACACAGCAGTACATGTAATCTGAACTTCATACTATAATGTTACCTCTTTATTTCAAATTCACAGTTATTTGTTATAAGTGAGTTCTATCAGCCCTGCTCAATCCCGTTTTATAGATATTGGCTCACATTTGTAAAATGAAATATGTTTTCTCGGACACTCAATTGAATGTTAATTGAACTGTTGACTGTTGAAGAAAATGCTCTAGTCGCTTTTTTTTTAGTTAACTCAAGTTTTAGGTCTATGTTTGTAAAATTACATCCCATTGCGTCCTGCTGCTGGATCAAATGAGACCACTCTGTTACAGCCTTACTGTTTTATGATTTGGCCCAAATTGTTTTTCTCAGTTCTGTAGTCTCGCCTAGTTAAAATTGTCAAATAATTTGAATTACAGTTTTTATTGAGTTTGTATTTCTGTGCTAAGCAAGATACCAATGTTTAATTGATTTTTCAGTATTGTTATTAAGTAAAGGTACTCTGCTGGCCTGATCAGTTTGTTTTTGTAGATTTGCTATAAAATTTAGAAAAAAAAATCTAACAACACAGGATTCAAAAAGCTACCAGTTAGTTTAAACCGTAACGGCAGTGCCATGGAGGAGTTGTAGCTTCTCCCATCAGAAGAAATTTCTCCATGTCTACCCTGTCGAGACACCTTCCAGGATCTTGTACGTTCAAACAAGTCACCTCTTCCTCTAAACTCTAGCATTTCCAAATGTAGCCTGCCCAACTGTTCCTCAAACAACCCTCTTGTTCCAAGTATTCATTCAGTAAATATTCTGTGAGCTGTCTCCAAAGCAGTTGCATCCTTCCTTAAATAAGGTGACCAGTACTGTGCACAGTACTCCAGGTGCAGTCTTGCCTGTCCTTTAGAATGAAGCATGGCCTCTCTAGGTTGGTACTCCCTTCCCCTTGCAATAATTCTCTTAACCTTTCTGCTTACTTGCTGATTCATGCATGAGGGCATGTGGATCCCTCTGCATTTCAGTTCTGTAATCTCTTATCACTTGGATAATATGCTGCTTTTGTATTCTTCCTGCCCAAATAGCAATCTTACATTTTCCCACATTATATTCCATTTATCACGTTTATTGCGCACTGGCTAAACCCAACTTTTATGACTAAGACATGTGGAGTCTACTTCCTTTCCTACATATCTTTTGACTCATCAGCAAATTTGGCCACTGTACATTCCATCTGTCCTCTCATTCATTTGTGAATTGTAAACAGTTGAATTCTCAATCCCTGTGACACACTTGTTGCATTTTACCAATCTGAACAAGATGCATTTATACCTACTGTCTACTTCCTCTTGGCCAGCTAATCTTCTACCCATGAGGTTTTATTTTCTGTAGTAAGCTTTGTGGTACTGTTCTATAAAAACACCTTTTGCATATCTAGGAATAGTAAATGCACTAGTTCCCCTTCATCTTGAGCCAGAAGGTGCGTTCCCCCTTCAGAATTTTATTGCAAGAATGCATTTATTCTCTGAAATATCCCTTGCAATATCTCTCGCTTCATTTCTATTGATGTAGTCCCTAACCTTGCACACCAGTTACTTCAGTCATCTTGGCTGTCACGCCCTTTAGTATTTTACACCCTTTAAAAATAAGTCTTAGAACCAATTTTCTGCCCTTTTTCAGGAGCAAGATCGAACTCCACTCTGCTCCAGTGAATCTAGCTCTGCATATTGCTGCCTGTCTCTTCTTTTTTTTTTTTATTTTTCCTTCCTGTTACCCTAAGTGAGGCTTAATGCCTGTATCAAAAACAAAGTTGCTGGAAAAGCTCAGCAGGTCTGGTGGCATCTGTGAAGGAAAAACATAGCTAACATTTCAGGTCTAGTGACCCTTAGAATTTAATGCCTGTATCGATATTCTCACCTTGGCTGCTCCACCAGTGATGCTGCCTGTCTGTTTCTGGGTCCTTCTCTTACCTTCTCCTCTGACACAGACCCAGGAAATAAATCTTGGATCTTCCATGTGTGTATCCTTAGTATGGTATATTGGTCACTGAAGTGAAAAGAGAGGAACATGCTGTTTTAAGAAGCAGAGTTCCTGTGTGTTATTAATTGTGATGCTGTTCATTGACAGATGCTGTGCTACATTTACAAAATATATTCATGTCACCAGATACAGGCTGCATTTTATTTTTTGTTCTGCAATGAGTTTGCCTTATTTCTTACTCTGTTTGTCCATTTCAGTCAGAAACGTAAATATTTGCCAGGAGATTGCTGGTAGCTAGCATGTGATTTATTGTGGTTAATCTGCCTACTCCACGATACAGGTGTGATGTGGTTGTTCCATTAAACTGCCCACTCACTATGTAGATTTCTGCTTTTCTTCTCCTACTGAATATGGAAGGTGTGTGTGTGCATGTTAACACTGAGGTCTTCTCAATGCGTGGTTAATTTGAATAGGTATATAACCTTCTGAGAAACCGCTGTCCCTGGAATAATGGGATCGTGCAATACAGAAGAGGCCCTTTGACCCATCAAGTCTGTACTGTCGAAAAAATGCTACTCCTTGCACAAGTCCCTCTTTTCACACTAGGCTGACTTAGTCTTGAATGTTATGACATTTCAAGTGCTTATCCAGATAACAACACTTTTTTTTAAGGTAGTGAGATTTCCCACCTCAGCTATTCTCCCAGGCACTACATTCCAGACCCACATTGACCTTCTGGCTGAAAAGGTGTTTTTTTTTTCTGAAATTCCCTCTAAACCTCCCGTCATTCATCTTTTAAGTTTGTGTCCCCTTGTTGTCCCCCTTAATCAAAAGGGGAATAACAGCTGCTTTCTATCCACCCTGTCCATGCCCCTCAATCTTGTACACCTCTATCATGTCCCTTCGCGGCCTTCTGTGCTTTAAAGAAAAATAACATGAGCTTATCCAGCCTCTTTGTTGCTGAAATGCTCCATCCCAGGTCACATCCTGGTGAACCTCCCTTGCACCCGCTCCGGTGTAATCCCATCCTTCCTATAGTGTGGTGACTAGAACTGTACACAGTATTCCAGCTGTGGCCTAACCAAAGTGGTAGCCGACAGATTACAAGGCAACCTAACATTCTACAAATTCCAATGAAGTTCTGGAATAGCTTTCTACTCCCTCCTCTTACTTTCTTTCAGCTGCTATTCTCTTCCACACCCTTAATTTTCTCCTTCTCTGTAGAGAGAGAGAGAGAGAGAAAGTAGGAATGATGGCTATGTTGGACTACTATCTCTTTATTGTGAGTTCATTGCCCCTTTTTTGTTTGTTTTGTTTAAATTGTGGTGTTGTATGTGGACCTGCCAGACATCAGCTGATGCAAGTGTGCCTGGAGAGTAAATATGTAGTGTCTATAACCCGTTATATTTGCAGTGCATGTGGAGAAGTTTAAAGAAAACATTGCCTAACCAACAGGTGGAAAATGATCCAACAATTAAAGGTGGCTGTACGCTAATGACGTATATTTTTTAAAATCAGTTGATGAGCATGTGTGATATTTCCACCTCCATGAAGTACAAATAGGAATCAAAGAAAATTAGGCAGGATAGTTGTATGTTGTGTGCCCTTTTGGAAGTATGAAAAAACCCTATGTTGGATTTTTCTCTCACTTCTCCCAATTCTATGTTTCTTCACCTTGCATCACTGTTTAATGCAGTGCAAACATAGTTTAGCAAAAACAATAATAATCAATCTTTTGGAAGTTAAATGTGGTTTGTCAGTTCGAGCATTTGCAAGTATTAAATGCAATAACTGCCATTCGAGGACCATTTTAAATCCAGTGTTGAATGAGGGCTCTTGTAGGATGAGGCTTGTAAAATAATCCTGGTTAACTGTTATGCTTTCACGTATACAGTGGTGGTGATGTCTTTAATGCGTCATTGTTCAATTCCATTATAATCTACCTCCTTTTTTGGTCTCTGGATACGCATTATACTTCCTTTCTTTTCTTTTTAATCCTTTGTTGTAGTGACATTGCTTCTTAGAAAATAAGTCTTTGGAGACACTGACTTTTTTTTAAAAAAACAAAAGCTGCCTGTTTCCGGCCTGTTCTCATTGTTCATTTTGTTCTGTAAAAGGGAGATGTGGAAATATGAGCTAATGTGCTAAATTAGAAAAGGAAAAATGTGGCATCTGCCACATGGGATTTCATAAATCCCACAGTGTGGAAACCGGCCCATCTCCCCCCCCCACCCCACCTTACCCTATCCCTGCATTTCCCATAGCTAACGCACCTTAACCAACACATCCGTGAACACTAGATAATTTCCCATGGCCAATCCACCTAACCTGCGCATCCTTTGGACTGTGGGAAGAAACCAGAACACCCAGCGGAAACCTATGCAGACACTGGGAGTTTGCACAAACTCCACACAATTGCCCAAGGCTGGAATTGAACCCGGGTCTCTGGTGCTGTGAGGCAGCAGTGCTCACTACTGAGCCACCATGCCGCTTTTAATATCTGCAAAAGTGGCTTGTTAACCTGATTTTTATATTGAGGAAGATGGATGCTAGCAGCAACATGCCTTGACCTTCCCAAACATTGGGAGCTGGTGTCATTGAGAATCTTGGCATAATATAGAATTGGCTAACACTTCTTTTCTTTTTTTAAGGGCACACTTTTCAGATTAACCTTTTGTAAAGATTCAAGGCTATCAGTACAGTTCTCCGCTTTATTAAAAACCTTATTGAACAGCTTTAACATTTTGGATATTTGATTGAAATCCATGCTTAACTATTTTTTGCCAAATAGAATTGTGTGGCGACTATATTCCTTTGTACATCATATTGGGGAGCAACATGGCAGGGAAAACAGAACTCTATGGTGCAGTTACAAGCTGCAAGCTACAAGCAATGTTAGTTATTGGCTTTTAAACCGAACTGTCAGAGTTGCCCATGTTGTAATAAAGTAGTGATTAAAGCTGATTATTTTGCAAAATGCTTTGCAGTTGCACTAGAAGCCAATATCCCTCTGTGCTACAACCTTGTCTAAATGTATTCCTGACTGTCCAATAAATGGCATAACTCTTTAAATTGCTGTTTCTCGCCCCTAACTGTGTACTTAGAAATATTGGAAATTGTGGACTTCTGTTTTGAAACATGAGTTTGAATTTTATTTCAAACCCATTTGTATGACTGACTATTATTCTTTTGCAAACAGGTCTTGCTGTTGTAGTCATTGCCATGGCGACTGTTGTGACCACTATCACAGGACTGTCAACATCCGCTATAACCACCAATGGATTTGTTCGTGGAGGTAATGGTTTCAGGTTTCTGTCTTTTGCAGTGCATTGATATCAGTGTGTGTATGTGATATGCTGTGTCTCTGGGATCATGAAAGAATCTCATCGCATTTCCTCCCCTCAACATGTAATTGTTTGCTTCAGACGTAAAAGGAGGATTGATATGAATTATTTTCAGATCAGTTATGTTTTTTTTTCTCCTAGGTATCTTTTTTACCTCTCAGTGACAAAAGTTGAAAGATGGCTGCAGTCCATGAAACAACTTCTTAAGACTACAATAACTTCTTTTATTCATGTGCTTAGTTAGTAATTTATTTGTCCAGTAATAATTTGCTGTGCAGCAGCTACCTAAGCTGGGTGTGGAATCGTTTCAAAATGAAGTTTTATTTTTAATTGTGTCTTGGATTTGCACTCTGACTTCCCGCGGTGAAACACAATGACCGAATTCTGTGCTTGTCTAGCTGCTGTCATTCGATGCCCCGCACAGAAATACTAGACTGTTCAATGAAGTACCCTGAAGTTTCTGATGAAAACATCTTAACAATTTTGATCACTTGTGATCAAGATGCAGGATGATCATGTTTTTAAGTTCAAATTGCTCTATATCAAATCAGTAATTACAGAATTACATGTGACAGGAAGGATATAACTGCTCTGGAGAGTACAGAGAAGATTTGCTAGCATGGTGCCAGGGCTGGAGAATTATAGCTACAAGGAGCGATTGGAGAATTTGGTGTTTTTCTTGGAATGCATAAGGCGGCTGAGGGGTGACATGATTGTTCTGATCTACACAAGATTGAGGGGTAGAGATAGAACAGACAGATGGAACCCATTTCCCTTGGCAGAGTGTTTAAAAACCAGGGTCATAGATTCAAGCCAAGTGGCGAAAGGATTAAAGGGGATGTGAGGAAATAGGGTGGCGGGTGTCTGGATTTTGCTGCCTGAGTTGGTGGTGGAGGCAGAGACCCTGAACACACTCTTCTTGAAGGTACCTGGATCTGCACCTTTAAGCTGCAGGGCTATGGCCATGTGCTGGGAAATGGGATTAGAAAAAGTATCTGTCTCTGAGTCAGCATGGACAAGAAAAGGCTATATAGCCCCCTTCTGTGGATCAATGGCACAATACCCACTTTCATGTTTGCAGTGGTCAAAATTGGTTCTCACTTTTCAGATGTGCCCTGAGAGTGTTCTGATTCCTTTTTTTTGCTTATAAGAAGCTTAGTGTGAAGCTCATCTCTGAAGAAGCTGAGACTGAAATTTAAGACTAAGATAAGGAGGAATTTATTCTCAGAGTTGTCTTTGGAGCTCCCTGCCATAGAGCTGTGGGAGCAGAGTCCTCAAAGGCTGTATATTTAAGGCTGAGAAAGATTCTTGATCAGTTGGGGAATCTAGGGTTGCGGGGAAGAACAGAAAATTGGATGTGAGGAGTGTCAGATAAGTCATGATTTTATTGAAATGGTAGCACAGGCTTGAGGGGCTGAATGGCCTACTCTTCCTATTTCTGAAGGTCTTAAACATATCCACCAGCTTACTAACTAATTTTAGGTTGGTTTTGTTGTTAATATGTATGCCAGCAACTATGACAGTCCTGTTCTTTCTATCTGCCTTCTGTCCATACCTCTGTTTGAAATCTGTTCTCCTCCACCCCAGTCTTTAGCACTTCAGTGTGGCACTGTGAATTCCTGTGCATGAATATACAGTTTTTTTGTTTTTTTTTAAAAATCCTACTGAAATAATACAACAACATACTCGTCCTCTTGGCTCACCTTCCTTAATCCCTCCTTTTCTCTTGGGTCACAATCCTACCCACTGCATCCATCTTGATCCTCTTGGGGGAGGAGGGGTCAGAAAAATTAGAAATAAATAAGTCTGGGAGTGTTAGACCTACTGAGCCTGACATCAATGGTGGGTAAGTTGTTGGTGATTCTGAATGCATCTGGAAAGGCAAGGAATGATTCGGGATAGTCAGCATGGTTTTGTGCCAGGGAAATCATGTCTCTCAAACTGGATTGAATTTTTGAAATGAAGTAACCAAAAGGATTGAGGGCAGAGTGGTAGATATTGTTTGTTCAGACTTTAGTAAAGCCTTTGACAAGGTTCCACATGGTAGCTTAATTAGTAAAGTTAGATCATATGGGATTCGGGGTGAGCCTGCCAATTGGATACAAAATAGACTTGACAGTAGGATAGAGGGTGGTGGTATTTTGGACTACAGACCTGTGACCAGTGGTGTTCCGCAGAGATCAGTGCTGGGTCCACTTTTGTCATTTATATACATTTATTTATTTAGGAATATTGGAGGCAGGGTTAGTAAGTTTGTGGTTGACCCCAAAATTGGTGGTATTGTGGACAGTGAAGAAGCTTATCTAAGATCTTTGATGAAATGGGTCAATGGGCTGAGGAGTGGTAGATGGAGTTTAATTTGGATAAATGTGAGGTGTTGCATTTTGGCAAAACAAACAAGGCTAGGACTTATACAATTAATGGTAGGGTCCTGGATAGTGTTGTAGAACAGAGACCCAGGGGTTCAGGTACACAATTCTATGAAATCTGTGTCCCAGGTCAGTAGCGTGGTTAAAAAGGTGTTTAGTATGCTTACCTTAATTGCTCAGACAATTAAGTGTAAGAGTTGAGAGGTCATGTTGAAGTTGTACAGGATGTTGGTGAGGCCTTTCCTGGAGTCGTGTTTGCAGTTCTGGTCGCCCTGTTATGGGAAGGATATTAACAAACTGGAGAGGGTTCAGAGAGTATTTACCAGGATGATGGAGGATTTGAGATATAAAAAATATGCTAGATAGGCTGGGACGTTTTAGAAATACCTGGAGCGTATGAGGTTGAGGGTTGATCTTTATAAGAGGCTTATAAAAAATCGTGAGGAACATAGTTAAGGTGAATAACAAAGATCTTCTCCCTAAAGTGGGGGAGTTCAAAACTAGTGGGCATATTTTTAAGGTGAGAGGAGGAAGATTTCAAAAGGGCGTTAGGGCAATGTTTTTTAGTGACTTTTTTGTGTGTGGAATGAATTGCCAGAGGGAATTGGTAATTGCAGGTACAGTTCCAATGTTTAAAAGACATAGAACATAGAACAGAGAACAGTACAGGCCCTTCAGCTCACGATGTTGTGCCAAACTTTTACCCTAAACCTAAGGTCTATCTAACCTCCACCCCTACCTTATATTATCGTCCATATGCCTATCTAATAGTCGCTTAAATGCCCCTAATGAGGCTGACTCCACTACCCTCTCCGGCAATGCATTCCACGCCCCTACCACTCTGAGTAAAGAACCTACCTTTGATGTCTCCCCTATATCTACCTCCACTCACTTTTTAAAACTATGCCCCCTCGTAATAGCTACCTCTACCCGAGGAAAAAGTCTGTGGCTATCCACTGTATCTATACCTCTGATCATTTTGTACGCCACTATTGAATCACCTCTCATCCTTCATCGTTCTAAAGAGAAAAGCCCTAGCGCTCTCAACCTTTCCTCGTAAGACCTTCCCTCCATTCCAGGCAACATCCTGGTAAATCTCCTTTGCACCTTTTCCAACGCTTCCACATCTTTCCTGTATCGAGGCGACCAGAACTGGACACAATACTCCAGATGTGACATTTAGATAAGTTCATGAATAAGAATGGTTTGGACAGATATGGGCCAAATGTAGACAGTTTCGTTTGGGAACACAGTTGGCATGGATTGGTTGAACTGAAGGGTCTGTTTCCACGCTGTATAGCTCTCTATAAATGTTGGACCAGACTCTGGTGAGTTCCTGCTCTGGGCACTTCTCTCCCAGCTGATTTTGTGGAGAATTCAGGAATTCCAACCACTTTCCCAGTGGAGGTCCCTTTCACACGAGAGCAGTCTCACACTCTCTCTGAACCAGCAGTGAGGAGAAGGTAAGGGCACAACAGCAAGGACTGTTTCTCGGTGAAACAGACGGTGAAAGGTTGTAGTGAAGAGCTGCACTGTTACCACCTTCTGACTGTGTAAGTTAGAGAGGCTGCACAGTTGCTGCTCACTTCCTTGGCCACCTTCCAGTCAGGTCTCCTTGGTTGACAAAAATGCTCTCTGTCTTCGCCCTTTTTTTTTACTGAAGTCTCTCCACCCCCTCAGCAAACCTCCCTGTAAGAATGGGAGTCCCTGAGGAGCAGCCTTCTTCCACCTCCTCACCATTTTGTGGGGGCTGCAGCCTACAGTGAACATTCTAAAACTGCCTTGATCCTTTTTTAAATCCACAATCCTCCTTCTGTCAAAGTAACCACACTGTCTTACCCATTCTCTGCCCCCCACCTCCCCCAATAAAATGGTGGCTGGGCAGCGTGGTGGGAACAAGATTTGCATTTATACAGTGCTTTTCATGACCATCAAAAAGCTCCAATCAGTTCATAGCCAAGGAAGTACTTTTTGAAGTGTCATCATTTTGTTATAATGTTTAAAACCTGGCAGCCAACTTTCACCCAGTGGACAGCAATGCAATGATAATTAGAAAATCATCATTTTGTGGTGTTGGCAGGATAGATATTGGCCCAGACACTAGATACAGGTACTCTGCTCCTCAATGTAATTCTTTACATCAACCCAAACAGACAGATGGAGTCTTGATTAGTCTCTCCTGAGAAATGGTATCTTTGACAATGAAATACTCCCTCCATGTTGCTCTGGAGTGGGTGTGAAGCTGATTAACCAGGACACTGGTCATGTCCCACCCTAAGACAGCTAATGGGCCCTCATGTATAGATGACTCCTCCTCATGTATAGATGATGACTCCTCCTCATGTATAGA